ACGTAGAAAATAGGCAAACAAGTCATAATCCCTCAAGTCAAGGTTAACCATGACACTTATCTCACTTCGCAACCAATTCAGAGCTTTACCGGGGTCTTTTCTCTAGAATTCGCCTGCAAATCAATCGTATCTAACCAAAGTCGATTCGATAACGTCAAATAATGCTAAGGGAATCAATTACAATACATAAAGTTAGAATTTTTACACCTTTCCCAAAAAGTCAATCCCGGGTCCGTTTGCTCAAAACTCGAGATTCGGACCAAAATTCATTTACCTAATCACCCCCGAGCCCAATTATGTAATTAGTTTCAAAATCCGACCTCAAATTGAGGTCCAAATCCCGAATTTGCAAAACAAAATCCCAATTCTTCCCAAATCCCTAGTTTTCTACCATGGAAAAACAAAGATTAAGGCTAGAAATTAATGGTGCTGTTAGAAATGGAAGAAAATGAGTTAAAGTATACTAACCTATGAATTGGTGATGAATTTTCTCTTCAAAATCGCCTCTAAGCCAAGCTCGAATGGAAAGATGGTGAAAATGGGTGAAATCCCGTCTTTGAAATATTTTAAATCACTAGCGTCAGGCCTTCTTCGCGTTCACGAAGGGCCTGCCGCGTTCGCGAAGCACAGCGGCCCAAATGGCCTTCGCATTCGCGAAATATCCCTCGCGTTCGTGATGATTTCTCCCCCCTGACCATCGCGTTCGCGAAGAACATAAGCCCAGCCTTCCCAGAGCCCCACAAAACTTCGCGTTCGCGTGTGGGTGGTCGTGTTCGCGAAGGTTAAACCCCCCAAGGCTTCGCATTCGGGACCTATTCCCCGCGTTCGTGTAAGGTAAATCCCTTCCCCAGCTCAGTTTGCTCTTCGCAATCGCGGGAGTATCTTCGCGATCGCGAAGAAGAAAGCATCAAGTGACAGCAGAAGCTAAAAAAACCAGAAATTCTAAGTCCGAAAACATCCGTAGCCTATCCGAAACTCACCCGAGCCATCGGGACTCCAAACCAAACATGCACACAAATCGAAGAACGTTATGCGAACTGGCTCGCGCGATCAAAATACCAAAATAACACCTAGAACTACGAATTGGACACCAAAACGAATGAAATTTTCAATAAAACTTAAGAACTTTCGTTGTAACAACCGAACGTCCGAATCATGTCAAATCAACTTCATTTTGCACCAAATTTTGCATACAAGTCATCAATACAGTTATGAACCTATGCCAAGCTCCGGAACCAAAATTCGAACCAGGTAGCAACAAATTCAAACATCGGTCAAACTTGAAATTTCTTTAAACTTTAAATTTTCAACAAATTGCGATAAATCAAGCTAGGAACCTCGAAATTCGGTTCAGGGCATATGCCCAAGTCCCATATCACGATACGGACCCATTGGGACTGTCAAAACACGTATCCGAGTCTGTTTGCTCAAAATATTGACCGAAGTCAACTCAAATGAGTTTTAAACCACGATTTCACATTTTAATCAATTTTTCACATAAAAGCCTTTCGGAAAAAGACACGGATTGCGCACATAAACGAGAAAGGCTAAAAGGAGCTATTTGAGATTTCAAAACACAAAATTAAGAGTTAAAGCTCTAGATGACCTATCGGGTCATCACAATAGTTCAAGTATGACTGAATAAATGCTGCCAAGTTCAGGGATTCCCAGGTATTATGCCTTTTTTTTGTTCATTTTCTTTGGTGTTATATTGCGATGATTTTATTTTTTTGTTTCCAAAGTAACTCTCATCAACTAGCACTAGTTTGAGGTGAACTAGCACTAATTTGATGTCAACCTTTAGGAATAATTCATCAAATTGGTTATCTAAAATAATAACATACTCTTTATTTAATATGATCCCGCTACACATATCGATTACATGTCAGCCATCCAGTAATCCTGATCTATTTGAAAATTGCTTGAATTGATATATTCATATATCATATTTCTGCAGGCATAAGAGTTTTTTCCTTTATGTTCGGTGAAAATCACATGTTATACTCAGTGGCTGACCTAGAGCATTGAATATGGGCTTCCGGGAATCCAGTAACTTTTGCGTATACCCTGTATTTATATTAAAAAATTCATTAAATATTTGTAAGTATTTAACTGTGAACCCAGTTAGTATTGCACATTAGTTTAAAATTATGGTAGGAATCCATAAACTTTAAATCCTGGATCCGCCTCTGATTATACTATATTCCAATAAATAGATATATGTGTTACGATTCAAGTCCACGTATACCTGATTTGGCTGTGATTTCACATCAAGAATATTTTGTTCTAAGTTCTTATTTTGAACGTGCAAGCAATGACAGACAACTAGCTACTTGAACATGTTAAAGTTATAGTATTTAAAGTATCAACAACCAGAGGCGTATCCAGGAATTTAATGCGATGGGAGCACAATATTATGTTTAATCAGTGTTCCCTAAAGGCTTTTAGCATTAAGGGTGTCAATTAATTTAAATTAATTATTTTCAAGGTATATACATATACATATACTACAGTGGTGGATTCAGGATTTTAAAGTTATGGGTGCTAACCGATACAATTTTCAAAAGAAGAGAAAAAATGAATTTAATCGTGAGTGCTCACTCTATATTTATCTACATATTTTTATAATTGCCTATGTAAATTTACTACATATGATTAAAGGTAATGGGTGCTTAAGCACCCACAAAAGCTAATGTAGATCCGCCACTGATATACTAGATTTCTGCCGAAACTTACGGGGTCCAATAGCCCCTCAACCTAAGCCATAGGTCTGCATCTGTGACAACAACTATATACTTGAATATGCTACAGTTATATTATTTAAAGTATCACATCAAATTTTGCTTCAATAAAAGATCGAACCCGAAAAAGTAATGGAAGAATATGAAAAAACAGGTATTTATTATGGGATCGACTTTTTTTGTCGATTGCATTGATTTTCAATGTAACTTTCTATTTTCACTCGGCCCTTCATGAAAATAACTAATCATCCTTTATAAGAAACTTTTTTAAAATAACGAGCTTAGGTCATCCTCTTCCTTTTTTTTAATATTTGATCCAATCTAATCCAGCCCAACACAATTCGTAGAAAGGCAAATTATAACAATTTTAGAGTACATACAAATTAAGATTCGTGACATTTTTATCACGAATTTTTTTTTCTTTTAATATAACTACCACTGGCATCCACTAAAATAATAACTTCTCCGAAAAGTTTTATATTAACTCTTTTCAAGTTAAAAGCTCTTGAGGAGAAAAGAAACGTAATTAACGATGGGAGAGCAATAAAAAACAAAAGCAATTACCAAACGTAAAAAACAAAAATAAAAAAAGTTATCTTGATTATTTCTGCTAACCCAGAGCCAGAAACCGAAAGGTTGAAAGTGTACCAGACATTGGATAGATTTTATCCTACGTAATCCAAAGTATTCCTTCTACTATAGCTAACTTGTCTCAGCTAGCTCTAATTATGCAGCCTAAAATCATTAGGGGAGAGATGTGTTTGGCTGAAAATGTTTTCATACTTATGCTTCCTTTTTAGTTTTTATGATCCAATTTTGATGAATTCGTATGGTAAATTGAACATGAATAAATACAAGTGTCTGATAATAAACTCTACAAATATATTTTCATCAAGATAGAGTCGAGAGAGAAACATAGTATTAATATTATTATACACTTCAATTAAATTAAAAATTAGGAGGTGATTGAATTATGTATTAGAATTAAATATGCATAAATGTTAATTTGGAACGAAATTATAAATTCCAAAACCAAAAGACACTTGAAAATATAAGCGCTCTTTTTCCTCTAACATGAAAAGAAAATTCCGAAGTACAAATTTTAGAATTTCTTGCCATTGTTGTAATCGAACTTGGCCAGTAATTGTTTAATAATGGCACATATAGTTTAATGCATAAAATATGTATGAACTGTTTGACTAAACTCATACTCGTGAATTAATTGAAAATTGCAACCCAACAAAAAGAATCAATAGACTTCTATCAAGTTCTGATGAGAGAACCAGAACAACTAGTAAAAATCGGGGGTTAATTCTTTTTTTTTTTTTACAACCATACTATATGATTTAATCTGAATATTCTTATGGTCAAAGTTCAATATGGTAGGCAATCAAAATCTAAAAGGGAAATTTTATGCTTTAATTACTCTTAATGGAGAAAGTAAATAATTCACTATAGCAAATATTTTCTATAACAACATTTACCGTAAGTAATATTATTTTAGGTGAGTTGTTATGCCATAAATCTTTGCAAAATTAGTTGATGTTTCAGATTACGGGTATATATCAGTCATGAGCATACAAAACATTTATTAACATTCTTTCTTTAGTAAATCAACTCAAACTAAACAACAAGAAGAAGAAGAGAATTTAACTTCTATGGATATTGATAACGTAACGATTTAAGTTATGTGTATTGACAGTTAAAAAATTTATTCCATACCATTAATTCAGCTTACCATGTAATAGCATGTTATTAGTCCATTTTCCAGATTACCATATATGATTTACTATGAATACTCACCTATTATATATTTAAATCAATTTAATAGTGTAAAAAATCTACTATATATTACCGTGCATAAAATTTAAGTTTATTTTTATGCTAATTAATTGTTCATAAAAAAAGTGAGATTAATAATCTGAAAATAAAACTACTATGTTATCTAGTGTTATAAATATATAATATGTTAAAATGATAGTGCAAAAGTATATCATACTATGAAAAATGTTTACTACTTATAAGTTTTGAGAATACAAAATCATGGTCAAACAATCAATTAGATTACGATTAACCCGTAATCCACCAAATTACGTAAGAAAACAAATAAAGGAAATGAAAAATAAAAGAAGGATTGAAGTCACCATAAATGAGTTACTCAAAAATAGAAAATATTACTCCTATCCTATTGTCAAAAGTTTGTCAGCTAGTTAACTTCCTTGTATATAAATCCATCATCTTTTCTCTCTAAATCCCAACAACAAATTTTGTTTCATTTCAGCCATGGCAACAATTGAAGAACCTAAAGTCATTATTGTTGGTGCTGGCCCTGCTGGTTTAGCCACAGCTGCATGTCTTAAAAAAAGTTCTGTCCCTTACCTTATTCTTGAAAAAGATGATTGTTATGCTTCTATGTGGAAAAAATATTCCTATGATAGACTTCACCTTCATTTGGATAAACAATTCTGTCAACTTCCTCACATTCCATTTCCCTCTTCTTCTCCTTCTTATATACCCAAAAAAGAGTTCATTCAATACTTGGATGACTATGTTTCCCATTTTAATATCTCTCCTTTGTACAAAAGAAGAGTTGAGTCTGCTTATTTTGAAGAATCCACAAGAAAATGGAATGTTAAGGTTAGAAATGGAAATTCTGGTGATGTGGAGGAGTATTTTAGCAAGTTCCTTGTGGTGGCAACTGGAGAAGCTAGTTACCCTTTTATTCCTCAGGTCCCTGGTTTGGAAAATTTTGCAGGAGAGGCCATTCATACTACTAAATACAAAAATGGAGAGAAATTTAAGGGTAAAAGTGTTTTGGTTGTTGGTTGTGGTAATTCTGGCATGGAAATTGCACTTGATCTTGCTAACCATGGAGCAAAAACTTCCATTATCGTTCGAAGCCCGGTATTAATTAATGTTTAATCTGTTATATATCGCATTAATTTTCTAAATTACAAATCCACTTAATTACTATCACTTGATGAAATGTCTTGATTTTTTAAAACAGATACACTTAATATCAAGAGAGATGGCATATTTGGGGCTAGTGATGTTATTGAAGTATAGCGTTCCATACAAGGTGGTGGACTTAATAATGGTGATATTAAGCAAGGTAAAGTATGGAGAAATAAGCAAGTATTATGGGGTGAAAAGGCCAAAAGAGGGACCCTTTGCTTCTAAACTAAAGTATGGTAAGTACCCAGTGGTTGAGGTGGGGACACATGAAAAAATCAAGTCTGGTGAAATCCAGGTACGTAATTGAGAAACACAACTCTGATCGATGCAATATGTTTCATGCAAGCTTTAAAGAAAAGCAAGAATGCAGAAAGTGATGATAAAATATGATGGTGATGACAGGTGTTACCTGCAATGACACGCATAGCTGGAGGAAATGATGTTGTGTTTGAGAATGGTAAATCTCATTCCTTTGATGTTATCGTTTTTGCTACTGGCTTCAAGAGAACTACTCACAACTGGCTTCAGGTAGTATATTTTACTTTTTGAAAACTTTTGTCTTGTCTCTTGTCTTTATTGTTATAATGGATAAAAATTTTGATTTTTTGTTGTTATCAAAGTATATTGTAAATTGGTGTGTTAATTTATATATGTAGGGAGATGATTATCTTTTGAATGAAGATGGACTTCCAAAAGCAGCATTTCCAGATCACTGGAAGGGGAAGAATGGACTCTACTGTGTGGGGCTATCTAGGAGAGGACTTTATGGGATTGCATTAGATGCCCAAAACATAGCCACACATATCAACTCTCTTCTCTCATAATTTCTTGCTCTGGACTCTTGTTGACTGGAAGGTTTTAAAGCCTCTGGAATAATTAATTTCATGTATTAGTAATTAGTATAATAATAGTATGAAGGGGTCCATCGGATGTGATTGTTGGTTAGTTAAATTAATTAAAATATGAGATGTATAGTCTCTATGTGATGTGATGAGGAACATATATATTTTTGTCTCTATACATAGATTTTCTTGGTCAGAGGTCAATATATATGAGTACTATTTTCTTTGTTTATCTCTCGTGCTTCACATTTACTACTCATGGACCCACAGTAATTTAATGGCAAAATACATAGTTTACCCATCGACCTTGTACTCAAATCCCTCTTACACACCTGTTAAATACGGAAATAATATTATACATCAAAACTTTTAAAAGTGTGTCAATTACACACCTCTTTTGCCATATGTCACGCGCGTGTATTACACATAAAAGAGGCGCGTGAAAACTAGAAAATTCATCTCCCTTTTTTAAACTATTTTCTTTCCAAATTAAAGAAAAAAATAACCCATGTCTTCTTCCCCAACCCACACTCCAACGTTCCTCCCCCCCCCCCCCCCTCGTCTTCTTCCCTAACCTCCATCCTAGTTTTGTCTACTCCCCTCATGTTTCGTCTTTCCAACCAACCCCCATGAATAAGAAGAAAAAGAAAAAGAAGAAGAAAAGATGAGCTATTGGGTCTTGTAAAAATCACCATTATTGACCTTTTGGAAAAGCTTGAAAACTTAATTGGGTCTTGTTGATTTTGGTGTTTCATGACCTAGAAAATTAATTTGAATTCATAATTATTGTTGAATAAAAACTTACTTAGGTGATTAATTTTGATAAAATTCAAAAAACACCATTAACAAGTTTGAAACTTTGGGTTTGAGCTTGAATTTGAAATTTGTATAAGGATTTGTTATGGATATTGTTAAAACTTGTTAAAAATCGGGTAAAGACTTGAATCTATAGTTAGGGAAGAAGGTGATTGTAGTGGAAGGGTTGGTGGTACTATGGTGGTGGTGGAGAAGATGAGGAGGGGGTGGGGTTTTTTCTTTTCTGTAATTTTTTCTTTGGGAAGATGAGGAGAGGAGGTGGAGTGGGGGGGGGGGGGGGGTAGAGGGGCAGAGTTTTTTTTTAGTTTTTTTTCTTTTTTCGATTTATGATACGTGTCAGATGTTGATTGGCGCGTGTAATAGCAATCTTTAAGCAGCTGTGGTCAAACACCAAAGTGGTGTGTAATTGACACACCTTTAAAAGTTTTGGTGTGTAATATGATTTCCGTCTTTAACAAGTGTGTAAGCAGAATTTGGGAACAAGGTCGATGGATAGAGTATGTATTTTACCCAACTTTAATCGATGAATCAAACTGAAAATAGATATATGCAGTGCTTTCTTGGAAAAGCAAATCTTAGAGAGCAGCAAATGACAGGTTGACTATTGTGTCCAGCATTCACTTTAAACCCAAGGCTACCCACATAGGCCAGCCTGAGCCAGCTTCATAGGGGAGATAAATTGAGTTCAAATAATTATAATAAACAGACATTTTCTATTGAAACTTTCACCTCCAATGTGAAACTAATGTTGAATATTAAGATCTTATTGACATTAAGATATTTAGAAACTAAATAACTTAGACCATTTATTTTCTCGACATTTGAATGTAAAGTTTGTCTTTATTGAAAACTAATAAATATAAAATTTAAATAAATATTAATTAATCTAATATTATATCAATAAAATATTAGAAAGCTAAGTTTATATGATGAAGGAGGTGAAGGGGCTAACGGTGGTGATGCTGACTAGCAGTAACGGCTAGTGGTTATGATGGTGGTTGATGGCGGTAATTTACTTTGTGGCTGATAATTGTGGTAGATGATGGTGATAGATAATAGTAGTGGCGACTGATGGTTGGCGACATGGCTAATTGAGATCTGGATTAAAATTCACAATTAAAAAAAAACAAATACACTCGACGACTAAAATCGAAATGATTAAAATGCAAGCCGTCATTACTTACAAAAGTTTCTTACTTAGGATTAGGGCTGTACAAAGGAAACCGACAAATCGCACCAACCCGATAATCCGAGTCAAACCGAGGAAAAAACCCGACTATCGTTTGGTTTGATTTGGTTTGGTGTTGGAAAAAAAGAGCAAACTTCATTTGTAGCCATCCAGAAAAAACTAATGACAAAAACTAGCCACAAAATAAATCATACAATTAACAGCCCAAAAACTAATTAAAAGGCTAGCCCAAGACCACTGCCACTCAAAACCCTAGCTTCCTTCTCCCTCAGCCGAAGAAGCCGCTGTCGTCCCAAATATCCATTTGTATTACTCCCATTTTGACGGGTACCATTTGAGCCTGAACCCGAACCCAAATTGGTATTTTGATTCCTTGCAAATTCATGTAACTACAAATTGAACCCATTATTAATTTATTCAAAGCTTCCAGCAAAGTCCCAAATTACAGCACGTTTGACTCCAACAGCAAACTGAATTGCCCGTTAGTCATACCAATCACTCTACTACTGTTCTTATGTTATGTCGGCTAAGGATGAAATGAAGAAAGGAATTAGGGAAATGAATTAGGCAATAAAACAAACTCACGTGAGAGGCACATGCTTAGTTGGACGGCTGAGATACATCAATGAAATAAAGGGTCTAGATTTGTTATCAACTTTCTAACGGTTTGGGCCAGCTGAAGGAGTTATAACAGAATTTGGGCCTAGCTAATTGGGCAGTTATGATCTGGTAATTTCTATTCTCCTTCTCCCAGCTCTCTTCCTCTCTAATCTCCTCATTCTCTTCTTCCTTCTCTCTAACAACCTCCATTAATTCTTCAGGTGATAGCTTGGATTCAATGGAGATTTGAAGCATTTGAGATTGGAAGCCTTATTCTTAGAGTGTCTTTTAATTCTCATTACGTTGGTACAATTGTAACATTTGAACAGTTCAATAAAATTCACCATTTCAGTCCAAATTTGTATTATCATCCATTAGTATATTACAATTGGTATCAGAGCTTCTTCCTGGCTAGTACAAAATGACAGGAGCAGAGACAAGATCTAAAGCTACAGACGAATCTCTGTAGAAATTAGAGACGCAATTTCAACAGTACATGACTACAAATGATGAAAGGTTGGATAACTTGGGGAAAAAACTAGAATTGTTAGTGGAAAAGCTGCTTCCTCCACGAGATGGACTTCTGGGTAGTGCGCCATTGGAGGATCTCTCAAATGTTGGGCCGATCACCAGGCCATGGGTGGGGGAAAACAAGGATAATCCAGGAGGAAGGAACTATGGCCATTCATCTCAATCGCGAGTGGAAATTCCTTACTTTGATGGAGTAGATCCTTGTGCATGGTTGAGGAAATGTGAAAGGTTCTTCCAGCATAACCACATCACTGATCCACAGCAAAAGCTTGAAGAGGCATTCCTTCACCTCAATGGTAAGGCTGAATCCTGGTTCTTTTCCTATCACATAAGTAAAGGAGTAGTTAGATGGTCAGATTTTACTACTGAAATTTGTAGTAGATTTGAAGGAGCATCTAATAGCAAATTAAACCTAATTGGGGAATTCAAAAAATTAGAGCAAACAGGATCAGTAGATGAGTACTTGGAGAAATTTGAAGAACTCAAGGCTTGTGTGTTAATAAGAAATCCTACTATACCAGAAGAGTTTTTCCTAGAATTCTTCATAGAAGGGTTAAAAGAAGAAATTAGGCATACAGTCAATTCAACAAGGCAGTAGAGAAAGCAAGGCATAAGAAGAACCTATTGGAAGCTGTTACTAAGGCTGGGAAAGCACAGTGGAACAAAGGATCAACTACAGGTTACTATCCCCAACCTACTAAGAGTGCAAATGGGGGTTCCAGATTTTCTAATAACAAACTATTTGAGAGTAGAAAGGCTCAAGGGTTGTGTTATAAGTGTGGAGAAAAGTACCATCAGGGGCATCAATGTAAACCTAGGCAACTGAATGCTATATCAGCTGCTACTGAGGAGGATTTAGAAGGGAACCTACAGCAAGAAGAAGGAGTGGTAATTCCAGAAGAAGAGATAGTGGATGAGGCAATAAGACTAAATGCCCTATCTGGCACTGAAGTTCCAAACACCATCAAATTGAGGGGTGAAGACAAGAAGAACTCTCTAACTATTTTGCTGGATTCAGGAAGCACACACAGTTTTTTGGATATGGAGGCAGCCAGAAAAACAGGTTGTCTTATTTCAGAAGTTGTGCCCATGAGAGTGACAGTAGCAAATGGCAACTACTTAATGAGTTTGCACATTTGCCACAAATTCAGGTGGAAAATACAAGGTGTAGAGTTTGAAGATGCAGTCAGAATAACTAGGCTGGGGGGCAATGACATGATATTAGGGGGAGATTGGATGAAAAGGCATAATCCAGTCCTACTTGACTTTGTGGAGTATAAAGTGCAAGTAACTCACAAAGGGAAGAGGGTAGAGCTTAAGGGGATCTACAATCAAACAGAGCTAAAGAGTTTGTCAACCAAAGGAGTGAGACAATTGCTTAAGAAAGGGCAGGCCATATGGTCTCATTTATTCACAATTTCAGCAGAAGAAGTGACAGAATCAAGCATAATACCTGCAGCTATTGACAAGGTGTTGAAGCAGTTTCCAGATGTCTTCCTGGAACCAACATCCTTGCCTCCAAAGAGGGCTCATGACCATTACATTCCCCTGAAATCAGATGCAAATCCTGAAGTATTAGACCCTACAGATACAGTTATTTTCAAAAAAATGAAATAGAGAAACAGGTGAGTGAAATGCTCAATAATGGGATTATACAGCCAAGCCATTCCCCATTTTCATCCACTGTTTTATTAGTCAAGAAAAAAGATGGTAGTTGGAAGTTTTGTATTGACTATAGAGCTTTAAATAGTATGACTATTAAGGACAAGTTTCTTATTCCCTTGGTTGATGATTTAATGGATGAATTATGTGGATCATGCATATACTCTAAAATAGATCTAAGGGCTGGTTATCACCAAATAAGGATGGGGGAAAAAGACATATATAAGACAGCATTTAGAACACATTTGGGACATTATGAATTTAGGGTAATGCCCTTTGGACTGACTAACGCCCCTGCCACATTTCAGTCACTTATGAACCATGTTTTTAAGGAGTATCTGAGGAAGTTTGTATTGGTGTTCTTTGATGATATTCTAGTATACAACTCTACTATG